ATTTCTTACACAATTTGATCATAATATAATATATATTAATAAATTGTATTTATAAATACATATTAAATTTATATTAATAGCTTTAAAAACTAATTATTGTTGTGTATTGTGATTGTGATATGCCAAAACAAATAAATAGTCTGTAGAAAGCTGATAAGCTTTCATATAAGATAGATTATTTTGAACAAGAAATAATGGCGTGACGTTTTTACTATTAAAGCCCTAAAAGAGGTAAGTTTAATATTTAGAATATATAATTTTGTATTAAAATGTTTTCCTATGTATTTTAATGTGTTGCAGTAGTCTTAAAACTAAGTATATTTACTGTTAATATAATAGTTTGACAAATAGTTGACATTTTAAAAATTCCTCACTTACTAACTATTTTGATGTTTTGGCAACGCTGTGGGGTTCTGACGACGTAAATCTTGAATGACGTGCAAGCTTTTTTATATGAAAAATGCTATACACGATAATTGTCACTTTTTCACTTGAATATCATAATATATACCATTTTTCAAAGTAAAAAACTTGCACGTCACCATTTATGCAAAGTAACGTCACTTGTATTTAAAATTTCCAGAACGTCAACCTTAGGCCGTCCGCACATGAAGCTACTAAAAAGAAACTAGTTGGTAACTTTAGTTACCAACCAGTCGCTTATTAGTTACTGCCCATTAGTGATGTAACAAATGTCATTTTTTAAACATTCGCGAATGCGAATATATGCCACCGACATTCGCGAATGCGAATATTCAGTTTTTTTTTAATTTGGCAATTTTAATTGTCTCCGGCACTGCCGGCAGTCTCATTTGCGCGAGGTGTGTAGGCGATTGGAAAAAGTCTGTCATTTTTAACTGCTTTAAATTGTCCAGTATCATTCTATCATATTTGCTAAAGTAAAGATGTGAAACAGTTGTTGTATTTATTGTAAAGAAGTTTATTGTAGGCGGTTAAGTTTATTGAGGGGTCGTTTAAAAAGGTATTTATTTATAGTCACGCCCGGGCCAAAAACGGAGAAAGCACGTTTTTCGATCTTATTTTCTCTCGTTATAATCAAATTTGACTTGTTATAGAGAGAAAGTTATAGCAGAGAACTAAGTTCTCTGGTTATAGTTCCAATAAAAATTTCACGGGATCCAAGTCACTCCACTTGCCCTGCTCTGCTCGTGCACAAATACAAGTGAATTTTTAGTTAAAGTGTGATTAGCGATTTATTACTATGAGTAAATCAAATTATAGTGAAATATGGACTTATTTTTCACCATTTTTGGATACTGAACGAGCTAAATGCAAGCTGTGTAATATTCGCAAAGCATTCGCACAAATTTTGCGAATGCGAATGCAAAAATATGCGAATATTCGCGAATGCGAATATTCGTTACATCACTACTGCCCATGTATTTTTATCAGTATCCGCACACAACGCTACTAGTTAGTAACCGGTCACTAATGCATCAGTGATCAGTCGACAGCAGACTGGACGTGCAGGTCGCTTGGCGACTAGTTTCTAGTGAGTTTCCAGTTTGTTGTGATATTTTTAACACGGGAAATGGCGAAATTGGTACAGGGAGTACGCATTGATTATATACTTTGGTCTTAAGATGCTGTGGATATCTTTTGTTTTTAAGAATGTAGCTTAGTTTGCCAAATGCCGTCCATGCCAGTCTAACTCGTCTCTTGATCTCTGCCGTTTGGTTCTCTTTGTTAAGTTTTATAGTTGGACCAAGATATATAAAATCCTTAACTTGTTCTATTTCATCTTATACGATTCTCATTGTGATGTCTTCATCTGTATTTGTTATAGTTTTGGTCTTGCTGTAATTCATATTAAGGCCTATCTTTCCAGCTTCTACGTCCAGTCTTTCATCATTTCAAATAATTCTTCTTTTTTATCGGTTATCAATACGATGTCATCAGCGTACCTTAGATGGTTCAAGCGTTGTCCACAAATTTTTATACCTTTTAAGAAGTGACTAGTTTCTATTAATTTTCGGTAGCGTAGTGTGCGAGTCACAGTCACTAAACAGTTGGTAATTCTAGTTACCAACTAGTTTTATTTTCTTTTTAGTAGCTTCATGTGCGGACGGCCTTAGAGTTCAAATGTTCCTAACACAGCTAATAATACGAAACCCATACGGAACTGCTCGATATTTCATAGGCGTCAACATAATGTAATAATAAGAAAAATGTAATCATCATTAACTTGGAAATTTTAGAATTATATTGATTAAATAACCAAAAACATTTGTTATTATTAATATAAATTTTATGAAATAACTCGTTTAAGTCTAATATTCCACAAAAAAATAATTTTAATTAAATAGACGCAACTGATACCGGAATACTTCAAACTATATTGACAGTTCAGCGAGTGGCAAAAGTGGCATAATATAATATATATTAATAAATTGTATTTATAAATACATATTAAATTTAGATTAATAGCTTTAAAAACTAATTATTGTTGTGTATTGTGATTGTGATATGTCAAAACAAATAAATAGTCTGTAGAAAGCTGATAAGATTTCATATAAGATAGATTATTTTAAACAAGAAATAATGGCGGGACGTTTTTACTATTACAGCCCTAAAATACGTAAGTTTAAAAGTTAGAATATATAATTTTGTATTAAAATGTATTTTAGTGTGTTGCAGTAGTCTTAAAACTAAGTGTATTTACTGTTAATATAATACTTTGACAAATAGTTGACATTTTAAAAATTCCTCACTTACTAACTATTCTGTTTTTTGGCAACGCTGTGGGATTCTGACCTCGTAAATCTTGAATGACGTGCAAGCATTTTTATGTGAAAAATACTATATATTGATCATCGTAGCAGTTAGTTTTCTCGTATTGGATAAGATGCTTTGGCTATTTTAATACTATAGTACACTTGAAAGTGATTGATAGCACAAATCTTATAGCAAAAGTCTAAATATAGGATTGGTCAATGCAGAAAAAACGTAATAATTGATACCTTTTTATCTGAATTGTTACTCGACTTTAATGACCACCCCGACAAACCTTAAATACAATACATCATAAAATGCAAATGAGCAAACCCTGAGGGATTAAGCAATAACTGAACGCCTCAGTGACGGAGAACATAAAATTAATTTAATGTAAAAAAACTAATATGTCAATATTACGTACCCACATTAATTTTTATAAAAATATTAAATATTGGTTTAAGACATTTCCTTACTTTAATAATAAATATATTTCGGGTACCAGCGTCATATAAACTTATAATTATTAGTAATAAAAATATATAATTACATATCTAAATTCATAAGTTGTATTCTTCCGATAAGGAGGCATCATTATCATCATTTCTTCATTTCCCACAGAAACAATAATTGGTTCTATGGTAGTAATATATCGAGTTTCCATATTTCTTCCTCTGCTATGACACGTCTAGCTTTTTGTCAATTGTCAGATGAAATTTTTGATATGGAGTCAGATAATAGTTGACGAACATCTTATAAATGTTGTATTATTTCTCGCGACATATCCTTCATATAAGCCCATATTAGTTCTATGTGGTTAAGTTCACAGTGATAAGATGGTAATCGCAACACTTTAACTCCATGTTCTTTTGCTATTTTATCTACACTATACTTCTTAAGTTTTGGTGAATATTGTTTGTACAGCTGCAATCACTCTTTTTTGAGTGAACCTTCTGCTGGCACTACTATTTCTTTGGTTATTAGCCAATACAAGAGTTCTTGCTTTCTCCGTTTAGTGTTAGGTAACGGTTCCTTTAATCTTGAATTGTAACTGGCATTGTCCATGACTATTACAGAATTGGACGCTAATAAATCTATCATTTGACTGAAATATTCCTCAAACGCATCAGCAGTCATTTCTTCATGGTAGTCGTTCGTAGAATTTGAAATAAAATCTAGCAACTCTCCATCAACAAATCCTTTTGAATCTCTTTCAATATGAGTAATAATTAAACGGCAACCTTTACCATTTATAAATTTTAAACTTTTTTTACAAAACGCCCTTCATTTATCGATGTTTCATCTAAATGAAAAATATTTTTGCCTTCTCTCCTCAATTTTCGAATTTCCCTTAAATATTTATCTATGAGCGCAGATTTTCTATTGTTATTATCATAAACGAATCCTAATTGACGTAATCTCTTTTAATGTTCGGCAAAGATTCGTCTTCATTAATGTCTACTAAAAGTCTATCCAAAGTGGGAATATTTTTTTGTAAATAAAATGAATGAACTTTTCTTCGAATCGATTGTTTCACAGTATCGTCTATATGAATGGGCTTTCTCCAACTCCGGTCATATCTGAACACTTAGACACTATACTCCGAATAAAATGTTCATGTACAAGAGCATCATGTATATTTAAGACTAAGTATTCATTGGCACAGTTAAATGACACTTTAATTTCACAGCAGTAAAATTAGATGTCTGTGACATTTTTACTACACAAGTTTACTTGTTAATATTGCTTTTTATTGTAATACTATATATAATGCGTGATATAATCGTAGAACTTTACAAACACAACCTGTTAATCTTAAATAAAATGATTCACAATCTGCAAAACACGTTCTGCCGCTTGAAAATTAAAATCCTTTCTAAGAAAGTTGAAGGCTTAAAGTAAACTCATGTTGTCCGCCAGTGCGATCTTTAAGTCTGCTTTAAACCCCTTGTGCTTTCTCGTTTTGGTGGTCACATTAACTTGATGGCATCAACTTCGGAGTACAATCTTTTGTCGAAAATGTAACTTTGGTACAAGTTAATATTGTTGCTCCTTATTTTTAAAACTATTCAGAATCTGCATATTTATAAGTTAAGTTTAGGAGAAAAATAAATTAGTTCATGCTGATGAAAGGAAAATGGTAACACAAAGAATATTTAAATAAAACGTAATAATATAACCTTATTTATTATCTTAAAAGTAATAAAGTAAAAAGTAAAAACGTTAAAAATGGCAACACAAAAAGCTTATCTTAAATTCTGGCTAACCTGGCCTGAATATTTCGTAACTTATTAACTATCGCTTCTGTATTAGGTTTGCTGTATAAATTGGACAGCAATGCAACAACGGTGTCTTGAGATAGGGATGTGTATTTTCTCCTAAAAAATATAAATCTATGTCAGTTTATTGATACAATAAGATAAGAAATGGGTTAAAATAAATAGTACCAAAAAATAGAAACTGCAGGGAAATCGTTCTCACAACTTGCATTAATCATTTTTGGCTTAATTGCCAACGTAAAGTCAAAGTTTCGATCTTAACTTTAGGTTACGGTTAATCTATTTGTCATTATGGTTATATCAGTAATATCGCTTATGACAGACAGCTATCTCAACAGTGATCCAATAATGATTGGACGAAAGGATCTTTTTCTCTTCTTTAAATTTCATCTTTGCTGACAGTCTTTCTAATATCGAAATTAATCTTACATATTGAGTTATAATAATAAGTAAGTATTTTTCTCATTATATTATGTTCCAAGTATTCAAGTTTTTATTTTTTCAATACGTGTCGTGATTTCTTTTGTTCACGTTCTTAAGTATTGATAAGTATAAACTTTCTAAAATCCAATATTCTCAATGGCAAGTTTTTACCTGATATATGTTTTTAACTTTAGATTTAGTGACGATCATCAACATGGTTTTCTATAAATTGATCTCAAGGACATAATCACAATATGTATTGCGTTCTGTAAATCATTATTTTTATCCGTCATTATTTTTGTATGCTGTACATGCTATATACAGTATCCTACTACATAGCATGCAAGCCTGAACGTTGATAATTGGCTCGTTACAATGCCTAGAAAACTTATTATGGATAATAAATAAATTATCCACTAAATGTGGATATTACACCCCATTCTAAAAAATTTCATGGACTGAGCATGTTAGAAATGAAAAATTTTTAAACGTATGAATAGCAATGGTGAACTTCTTCTTCTTTTTTGTAGACATGACTCTGTTTTTCAATGTGCCTCCAGTAAGTTGTCGTTCCATCGCTTTCGGGGTCTTCCTACTGTTCGTCTTCCTGTTGGGGAACCACCTCTTGCCGTCTTTACTACTCTGTTGTCATTTAAAACATGGAAAATATCTTTTGGACATATAGGATGCGGCATTAGTGCGAGAAAGTATATTTACTCATTTGTCGTAAGAGATACGAAAAAAATAATTTATGTAAACCTTGCAGCATAGATAGCACTATACTTTAAAAATATTTTCAAATATACAGGGCCTTCCATATTTACAAGGTGGAACAAACATATCTTTTTTCAATGGAACATCCTGTATGGATTCTATCCTTGTCAACTATTTATGATGTTCTCGTTTTTTCATTAGTTTCGTAATACAATTAATTCCCTGTAGAATTGTAGAAATTTAAAAATATATTTATGTTCAAATTTTTTTTAATGTATATTCCGACAATTTTCAATTAAAGGTGACTAATCTAGAAATTGAACGAAGTGCTAACGGCAACCATGTAAAATATTTGATTTCACGCAAACAAATCCTATGTATCTGTTGATACGTATTTCGACCTAATAGGTCTCGTCAGAACATCTATTCATAGGAGTTCTCAACGTGAAAAATCAATATTTTCTGCCTTTTAAGAAGCAACAATAACATGGCTTCAATACGGACGCGCTAGCGACATCTAATTACAAAAATCGTAAATTAGTTTCGAAACACAATTCAGATTTCTACTTTATAATCTGAGCCTTCTAAAAATATACGTTTGCGTGATATCAAATATTTGCTGCCTTTTTTCATTTTATTCGGATTTACTCTGTGTGAGTACTAGAAGCACAATTCGCTAAGGATTTCTGCTTACTTGTAAAAGACATGTCGTGGAATGCAAATTTTAGATTCCCCATGTCTCTTTTAACATCTTCTATCAACGTCTGTTTGCCTTGCAATTTTTAGAAATCTCAGATTATAAAGCAGAAATCTGAATTGTGTTTCGAAATTATTTTACGATTTTTGTAATTAGATGTCCCTAGCGCGTCCGTATTGAAGCCATGTTATTGTTGCTTCTTAAACGGCAGAAAATATTGATTTTTCACGTTGAGAACTCCTATGAATAGCTGTTCTGACGAGACCTATTAGGTCGAAATACGTATCAACAGATACATAGGATTTGTTTGCGTGAAATCAAATATTTGCTGCCTTTTTTCATTTTATTCGGATTTACTCTGTGTGAGTACTAAAAGCACAATTCGCTAAGGATTTCTGCTTAGTTGTAAAACACATGTCGTGGAATGCAAATTTTAGATTCCCCATGTCTCTTTTAACATCTTTTATCAACGTCTGTTTGCCTTGCAATTTTTAGAAGGCTCAGATTATAAAGCAGAAATCTGAATTGTGTTTCGAAATTATTTTACGATTTTTATAATATTTTAGTTTATTCGTTCCGCGTTCTATATGTGCATAGGTGTAGTGTGTTCTGTTTCTTGGAAATATATTTATTAAATAGACTTTTATTATTAACTTTAAAATAGTTTTGAGGTAAGTAAAGAAAATTTGAGATAAGTTTATTCTTTTTATAGTATTAACCCATTAACGACCAAACCAAATTTACCACCAAAAAGATTTTTTTCTCATTTTCAAGGAAAAATAGTACAATTTTTAATAAAGGAACATATTCTATCTTAAATGTAATTTAAATTTTAAGGTGAAAATTTTCGAAACATTCGGGGTATAGATGCACTCTACACCTTTTACATAAATAAATAGTAATATATTTACACATCCGACATTCTTGCACTATTGTCTCTTTTTGTAATGTGGCCAATATTGTCGAATCTGGTTTCATCTGGTAAAGTAAATTTAGATTGCCGTCCATGTACCAAGTTTGACACTGATGTAACGGTTTCTTCACTATTCTCTTCTCTTCATGTTTGATTAAACGAAATCTATGTCGACTCATACTTTATCTTATAATGTGCACTTCTTTATCCCCATCATTCGACCAATACATATCAACTTGAAGCAGAGTGTGAACCAGATAATATACGTATGCCAATAAATTTTTTAAATCTATGTCATTCATTTGAAAATCTTGGCAGTTATTTTGCGATCCATAAATATTTGTAAAATATAGAAACTTCTCAATTACATGTTTATAAAAGAAAAAAAAAATAAAAAACTTCAATATAAATTTGATTTAATGGTTGGCTTTTATATTGTCCAAATATCAATCAGACTGATGTTGAATTACTACTGAGTACGAAGGAGTATCTGTTATTACCCAACTTGAGACAAATTTGGATTTACTATTTTTGCCTGATTTTTTCTTTTGACGTTTTATCTGTGGTTCAGAGGAATATCCGAATATCATAATCACAATCGTCAAAATTCCCAATCACTTGTAATCTATATGTACCTGCAATATCCGATTTTATTCCTTCTTCACAAATAATATTATCATCAATGTCTTCTGCATTGGAAACTTCATCTGATTCCGAGGGCAAAAAAAACACATTAAGTGAATCAGCATTTTCACAATCTGTCTTCTTCTAACAAAGTTATTAACTCTTTAGTAGTTAGTGCCATCTTCCTTTCATATTTCGAGAATTTACTGAAAAATGCACTACTATATACACGCATTCACATGATAATAGTTTAGCTTACTTTATTTTAATTGATATGGGATATAAAACAAATAAACACAAGGAAACCTTCAAATCAAGTTAAAAAAAACAAATATACCGTTTTACAGCACACAGTAATTCTACAAATAGAGAATGAAGTGTAATAACGAGATCGTATATTAAAATTTCAGATTGTTTAGTCTAATGAAAAAATAAGTATTTTGCAAAGGTTTCTGTTTTTTGATAATAGTTTAGCTTACTTTATTTTAATTGATATGGGATATAAAACAAATAAACACAAGGAAACCTTCAAATCAAGTTTAAAAAAAAAAAACAAATATACCGTTTTACAGCACACAGTAATTCTACAAATAGAGAATGAAGTGTAATAACGAGATCGTATATTAAAATTTCAGATTGTTTAGTCTAATGAAAAAATAAGTATTTTGCAAAGGTTTCTGTTTTTTGAATTACTGTAGTGGTTTTCTATAATAACAATAAAAGTTTACTGTGTTTAAATAAATAATTAAAATATCATCTTGGTACGCCCCTGCAACGTTGATAAGTGGAATATGATTTCGTCGTTTTAAGTGCGATGTTGTCAAGTAATCACCTTCAATTAAAAATTGTTTTAGTATAGTTTACTATTGTCTAAAATTATTAACATAGCGAATTATTAAATTTTTGTATAGAGGGTTGGTCTTTGTCGAAACTTAGAATGAGTATTTTCTTAAATGGAACACCCTGTATTTTAATATTGTAATGAAATGTTATCTTATGATTCTTTATTATTTATTATGCATTCTCTGCTTTAATTTTTAAGTTATTCGCCATTTTTTGAGCCAAATAATTGCAATAAAAATTAGGTGAAATTTTATCAGCTTGGCCATGAAAATATTAAATCAAAAATAATTTTTCGAAAAAAAAATACATAGTAATCTAGACTGATCCTTCATTTGTTAATATTAGATGAGATATCAAAATTTCTTAGTAGTTAAGATTGCTGGTGTGTAAAATATTAATAAAAACAAAATATTATAACTAGTTGGCTACGACTTTGACACTAAACTTGCTTAAAAGTTTAACATTAGACTATTTTATAGTTCCTCTTGCTTTGTTACTTTTACCAACATGAATTTTTTTAAGGAGGAAATCAATTGATTTGGCTTTGTGTCAGGAGGGTATAACAAAAATGTGCTATTAGCAACAAGAATTTATCATCAGTAATTCCCAGATGACCATCTAGAAGAGAAATTTTACTAGAATAGTTTCAACGGACTGGACACTTTATTTCGAGATAAAGCTACTTTCCACAAGAATGGTATTATAAACTATAATTTTCACTATTTCTCAACTTCTTATTTACATCATATTTTCATTCACAGTCATGATGATATGATTAACAATGATCACTAATGCCCAGTTGCACCAACAGACTGTAAATCAACTGATTTGCTAACCGTCAATTGGACGATTTAAATCAACGATCAATGGTTATTTTTTAAACGAGTTGCACCATTCTAAAAAACTATTGCTTTACAAAGCGACAATTTATACGTGGCAACAGTGCACGAATACAGATTATTTGGATTATTTCATTCGAATCGGAGTGTGATCTGTCAAAAAGATTGTCAACAAAGAAAGTTTTGTAAGGTTCTGCCAATCCAATTGAACATTGAACTATTATAATAACATTGTTTTTTTTGCAATTTTGTGTGTGTAGTGTGTATTTAAGATGAAAAATAAAGGAAGCCACTTCTCTATTCATTTTATATTTTATTTTACACCGGATTATTCCTTCTTGTCCTATAGGTTAAATGTTTACGAAAACGTTCTAAAAGGACCAACACTGTTTTCTTGCTTACTCGATATCTAAAAATAATTAAAATGCATTTCTAGTCATTCAGGTAAATAATGATATATGTACCTTGCTTTAAACTCAACTTCATTATATGAATTATACAAATCATTGCGATCTCTTACATATCTTATATTTGGTAACATATGCATTATATCTTCCAAATTGTCAGAAGATGAACTCGATGACGACGATGATGATAAATCAATTTTTTAAATTATAATCTATAATACTTTAAATAAAAAACCTTTGCTAAAAATACTTTAATAATATAAACAGTGTAAAAGTGAGGTCAAAAACAGTCGATTTTTAAATAACCATAGAAAATCGGTTGGTTACTTTTGACAGACCAAAAACAGTCGGTTCCAGTCAAGTAATGGTTGGTGCAACATATTCCAAAATAAACGGGCAATCCAAATCAAAAAATCAATAGTTGATTTGTTGGTGCAACTGGACATAAATGTTTGGCTGGAAATCCTGGAAATTATGTCATATGGCCCTTCTTTTTTGAGGATCATGTAAATGGAAAAATGTATCTAAATTTTTAGTACAACGAATTGCCGGAAGTATTTTAAGCTGTACAGTTGGACATACAGAAAAATTGGCTACAAGTAGCGTACAATAAAAAACAATGGAAAGGAAGACTTGAAGAGGCTTATGTTCAGATGTGGACGTGAATGGCTAGACGAAGAAGAAGAAGAAGAAGTTGGACATACATAAGAGAATGTGGATATGGAAGGAAAGGAGTGAGAAGCTGGCTTCCATGATCTTTAGAGAAAAACAAGGTAGATTTTATTTTTTGGACTAAATAAAATATAAGCTGAATAAAGTTTATAACCAGATACAAGTAAAGAAGATATAATTGAGAGAATTAGAAATGAATATATGAGATTAAACATAAATGTATTGACTAGTGTCTCCTTTGACGATCGCTTGCAATTATGTATTGACGTCGACTGAGGCCATTTTGACCACCTATTATAAATTCAAAGATTTTCGCTGTTATTTTTGTTAAGTGAATATTTTGTTTTACATTTAATTTTATTTGTATATTAAACGTCACTTTACTGTTTTTATGTAGAGCTAAGGTATTTTAATCTCTTATTAAATATTAAAAAAATAATGATCAGTCTAGATTATTATGTATTTTTTCACGGCCAACCTAAATAAAATTTAATCGAATTTTTGTTCTGATGCTATTTTCTTGTGAAATCTTATAGCAATTACTATTTTATTGGGAATAAGCCACAAGTGAAGTTTAAAATAAATTTATTGACGTTTCAATTTCCACTTCGGAGATTGTTCTCAATATACAAACATTAATAAATTAAACAAATTTTGATTTTTGTTATTTGGTGAAAAATTCTTCAAATAATTTAATTTTATCTGACGCATTTATATTGACAATTCAGACATTTCAATTCAGACGACTTTAAAATGATATTGCCAATACAGCTCTTAATAAGCCATAACCCATGTTGACTTCAACTTTCCTTAAGGTTGAGATTTCGTTCCGAAAAAATAAAGCGTGGAATTTCTTCCGAATAGCACATTTGGTGTCATCTTCAAGTTTAATGCGTTTTCTACCTATTTCTACCTAATTTTGATTCTCAATAATAGTATCGTAGAGTTAAAGAGTTTATCTCGGTTGGTAAAAATTGTTTCATTTTTAGAAATGCTTGTCTGGCCTGTTCTATTTTACACTTTACTTCCAGCTCTGAGTCCAACGTCTCATGTATTCAGCATCTCAGATATTTAAGCTTTTCAAACTGTTCAATTAGTTTGTCATTTACTAATATGTTTATGCTTGGTGTATTCTTTTTCGTGATTACCATTGTTTTTGTTTTCTTTCTATTAGTTTTAAGGCTATATTCTTCACCCTCTCCAGTACCTTGTTCAGCAGATTTTGCAGTTCTTGTTTGCTTCCGGCAATTAATACCGTATAGTAGGCATATCGGTTGTTATTAACAATTCTTCCGTTGACTTTAATACCCATACATAGGTCCATATTGTGATCGTCCAGTTACCATTAATCAAAACTGATAATGACAGAAGCTGGCTACATTTCTGTAAGAGATTAATATAACTTTTATATAGCGCAAATGATCAAAAATAATGCTCTTGTATACGCCAGCCAGTTTTTATTCAGTTAAAAGAAGCATAATGACGAATATTTTAGTCGAATATGAACGTAATAATTAAATACAAGTAAGCTAAACATAAATAAACCAATACACAAACACAAAAGTATAACCAACAGCTTTTTGGTTAAACTTTTCGCACAATCTTTTAAATATTCGATTTCCGGAATGGAAATCGAAACGTCATTATTTACAAATATAATTTTCATTACAAACAATTGTGGCTTAATCCCATATAAACACAATATTTAAATTCTTCATACTTTCCCTCTTGATTTACAATATAATTACTATAACGAACGATTAATGCTGTTACGATTTTATTCTATATAAAAGTATGTGTATTATTAATCAACTATCTTTAAATACAGTTGTTTCGGGCACGTATCTCAAAAATCCTGACAATATTTTAAAATGTAATGCAATAATGGCATGTCAAAACATTAAATCCGGCTAGTAATCTAGACGTCAAAAGCTAAGACGAAACGAATTTAGGATAACAAAAAGAAGATTAGCGATTTTTAAAAATAGTCGCTAAACTCAATTGAAGTAGTACCATTAAAAAATATATTCCTCTTACTTTTCTATACTGCTGTACGAATCTTGGTTACTAATGAAACAGCTGATTAGAGTAGCTGTAGCTTCAGAAAGATGAAATTCATTTTCTTCCAATTGCCAGAAATGGTCGTTTCCAGATATGGTATTTAAACTGAAATATAAAAATAATATTTTAATATATTAATTACTGCGCTTAAAGACTATTGCTAGCAGTAGTTTTCTAATAATGCTATAGAGTTATCGAAAAAAAAAAAAAAAAAATGTAATTAAATACCGCTTTTTGGCAATTTAGTCACCGCCCCGAATGACGTGATGTATGGATTTATGAAATCAATAAGATTCTCGATGGTTTGAAGTATGTGATCTTGTCTGGCTTTATAATCCACAACGTCGTCGAGGTTTCTCTCCTAAACTGAAAAGGCAATGGGAAGGTCCGTATGGAATTAAAAAGATAACAAATGATGTAATATACCGGATTAAGAAGTTGTCTAAAGGTAAACCAAAAGTTGTTTACATAAATTGTCTTGGACCTTATGCTGGCTCAAATGAAACAGAAGAAGTACGAACCTTTCAAGATGAGATTAAAAATGAGCGACGACCAAGTTTTACGGATTTTATGTCAAATTACGCAGAAAGAAAGAGTGCTAGGTTCAGCGTGACCACAGCAGTTCAGCAGGATCTATTTAGTGTTACGAAACCGTCTATCTAGTCCACTGTTGCCCAAGACCTGGAGATGACTAAAGGAATCTCGTCCGTATTCACATACTCTAACTAATTTGAAGAAAATCGTGTGCAATCATGACATCAAACATTTGACTATACGAAAATTAGGCCATGCATTAAAAAATTTGGATTGGAAGATTTTGAGAAGCATGCTTGAAGTAATTTTCCGAGAAACCGGAGTACGAATAGGGGTTTATGCAGACCTGGAGAGTCCTGTAGATTGGATCCTGGGCCTACATACAAAGTTGCAGATAGGGTAACGAGAAAGTTCGACGTACCCCATATAACAACGGTTGCATCTCTTAGAACGATGATGCGTGTTCGAGAAGATGTATCGACCGGCTACAGAGCGAGGCGTTCATATAGAATAGAGGTGAACTATTCCAGATTATTCTAGTAAATAACCTTTTCTAGGTTCTAGTGTTCTAGGTAATTCTAGTAAATCTTTTGTATTTAAGAAGCGCTGTTGTTAGTTTTAGTGGGTTGTTAAGAGAATATCTTACTGTTACTGTAAACTTTAAAATACGTTACAATATACCATCCTCGAAATTTTCAACTCAAACATGGCCGGCCTATTTGCCTACAGGATCGAGGCCTGGCACAAGTAAGCCACCTGTCAATTTGGTAAAAACAGAACGGCAATTAATAAACACCCAAAGGTTAATAGAACTCCTTATTTCTAAAATCTTTTTTTGGAAAGGATTTTCGGAGTATAAATTGAAAAGTCAAAACAAACTTGTTTTAATCATTATTATTGTGGTTTAACCCCATACAAATACTATATTCTTAATATAGGTTATGCTTAACCATATCTGCAGCATTATAATTTAGCCAATCGCGCTCACTACTGGACATAGATCTCCCTCAGTTTCTTACAATGTTCCCTACACTGGATCGCTTTTAGCCAGTTTCCGCTGCTCTTTTTCTAACTAACCATATATTAGAGATGAGATAATATGTGCATGTATCAAAATATTCTGCTTTATATAGAATTCATGACTATCAATAGATTTATTAAATACTTTCTGATGTCTATTATGAAGTCACTTTAAGCAACCAATAAGAATTCTCGATTAAAAACGTTGCTCAGCAAGGGTATTCTAACTCGTACTGTTGATTATATCATCATCAACTGTATCGTCCACTGTTGAATATATGCCTCCGTCTAGGATATAGGTTGAGTATCTGTAGTTATATTCAGACAATGCTTTGATTTCAAAAACGACGTGCGACGCCTAAGGTTTTTTTGTTTTTTGGGCCTCTTTCCTGCTACTTAAATAAGTAAATAAATAATAAAAAAAACTCACTTATTATAAACAGTGATGAGACTATCAAACGGAATATTCATACTCTCAAGAGCTGTAGGTACTAGTTGTCTATCGCCTCTTAACTTTGCATTCACTATTTCTAACTCATAGATAATATAATCTGAAACAAAAGTTTAATTCAATTATCTACAATATATATACAGGTATATTTCCATACATATTTTACTTGTCGAAACTTTACCTCTTTTGCAAATTACCTCATTGCAAACGACTCATTTTATCATGTAATCGGAATGTTCACAAAAATTGACCAATTGGGAATTTAGTTTAAAATATTTCATGATAAAATGTATGTTTTATATCAAAACGTTTTACATTAAAAATAAAAAGGTCATTAAGAAGTCGAATTCTAAATTATTCCGCATATTTTACTTAAAACATTATTTGGTTAAAATTCTCCTTCTTAGTGACAACTTAATTGTTAACTTTTGTCGACGAGGATATTAATTTGGAGTCAAGTATAATAAACACACTGCGATGACTATCGAATATAAAGCATGATGTCTCATGTCCTTAAAACTTTTCTCAGAATCATCATACACGAATTTACAAGAATTGTGAGTTTCAGATGGGTGACACTCAATTCGGATTTCGAAATGGATTGGAACACGAGAAACTCTTTTTGCCTTAAATGTGTTAACACAACGATGCAAAGACATGAATGTAGATGTATATGCATGTTTTATTGATTATCGAAAAGCATTTGGCTGCGTTAACCATCAAAAGATGATCGAAATTCTGAGAACAACTGGAATTGACCAATAAGACTTGCGAATTATCTCAGAACTATATTGGCACCAAAACAAGAACAATTGAAATAGGGCACACAACATCCGAAAATATACGAATCTCACAAGGAGTGCGACAAGGTTGCGTCTTATCACCACTATTATTTAGTCTGTATTCGGAATCTATATTCAGAAAAGCATTAGATGAGGTTCAGGTGGAATCAAGATTAACGGAACCGGCATAGGCAACATCAGGTACGCACAACAACTACAAAATATAATAAATGCGGTAGTTCGTCATAGCGAAATGTTCGGTTTACATCTAAATGTTTCCAACACTAAAATTCTAGTGTTTTCAAATATACCAACAAAAGTATATTTGTACGCCAAGGGACAAATAATTTTATGGAAGGTAACTTCCATAAAATATTGGGAGCAAATATCAACAGCCAGTGTAACCCAAAAAAAAAGAAATCTGGTCAATAATCGAACAAGTGAGGAAAACACTCAAGATCAGACTTTAGTCTAGAGCTCAGAATTCGAATGATCAGATGTTACGTTTACTCTGTTTTGCTGTATGACTGTGAAAGTTGGACAATGGACTCTAAAATAGAAAAAAGAATAAATTCCTGTGAAATGTATTAGATATACAGAGGGATACTGAGAATTCCATGGATACAAAAAGTTACCAATGGTAAGGTACTTCGGCACATGAGTAAACAAACAGAATTACTCAGCATAATCAAAGAGAGAAAAATACAATAATTGGGTCATGTGTTGAGAGGTGAGAGATATGAATTAGTTCAAATCATATTGGAAGGTAAAGTTCAGGGTAAAAGATCAGCAGTTTCCAAAGCTATAATTGCCATTTGGATCGCCAACCTTCGAAAGGAGACGGCGCAATAAGAAGAATAATAAACAAATAGAAAAATAGATTATTTAATGAAATATTTGTTATATGAATATATTATTATAATATGAATAGTTCTTTATTGTATGTTTGGTTTAAGTCTTTATTTGGATATATTCCTTATTTGAATAATAAATCCAATAAAAGGATATCAAGACTAACAATAAAATTTAATAACTCATTAAAGTCAATTGGCAGCTCATTACATATGCAAATGGTCACATAGCAGATAAAGGTGGTCGTCAATAAATCATTGCCGTACGAATGTAGTCGAAACCAATAAGGTTTTTTTTTCTGAAAAATTCAGATTTAAGTATTAATTTTTTTAGTTTAATATAATTTTAAAAAAGACCCCATAAAATAAAAAAAGCTCATAACTAGTAAACCTCATAATTTTAATTTAAAACTTTAATTTTTATTTATATAAGTTATAATTAATAACTAAAACTTATTTTACTAATTAATTATAGCTTATAAATAATAATTTTCCGATTATAATAAATATAATACTTACACTGACACCTACGCATGTTCAGCGCTTAGCTACTCATTTGGTATTAAGTGGACAACAACGGATATAGAAAATCTTCAGCGAAATGTACGAACACATCTCACAAAGGCACAAAAACACCATCCTCAAAGTGCAGTAGAAAGAACGACATTAACTCGGTATTTAGGAGGACGAGGACTTCCTCGTCCTATCTGAATAGATATATTAGCAATTAGAAAAACTAATTTAAGAATTTATTTTCAGATGCAGGCTGAGACATCTACTCAACATCGCGCGATTTGTGCAGTAGATTACATAACATCTATCAAACTGATGGAACCAGAAGTGTGCATAAACCGTCTTACTAAGGTCGAAAAATGAGCACCTGAATAGGCAAACCTCTGCACGGGCGACATTCCAATGAAGTCAGTCAAGACTATGTCGACAATATAGCGTCGAACTATTGGCTGACAACAGGAAAGAGGTTATCTGAAACAGAAGGTTCATTACTTGACATTCAGGATCAAGTTATACCAACAAAAAATTAACTTAAATATATCATCATAGACCCTTAAGTCCAAAACGACAAATGGATGTCAAGCCCAAGAAACCATCCAACATCTTACTGTAGGTTGCCAGGCATTTGCTGCAACTAAATACAGGGAACGGCATGATTCGGTAGGGAAAGTCCTTCATCAAGATGTAACTTTCAAATGGGACTTCTCCAAGCAAACCACTTCCCATATTAATACGTCCCAGAGAGTATGCTTGAAAATGACAAATTCAAGCTATATTGGAACCGCACTAGACCAAACAGTAGCACATAATAGACCAGATCTCAGACTAGTTAATAAACTAACGACACAAATAGCACTAATCGATGTGACGTTACCTTCTTCTTATGGTGCCCTATCCAATTAGTGGATGTTGGCGACAATTCTGGCATAGTCCTCTCGATCTTGTGTGGCTCTAAAGAGTGCATGGGCATCAATGTTTGTCCAATCCCTTATGTTTTTAAGCCATGAGTATTTCTTTCTTCCGATGCCCCGTTTTCCTTCTATCTTCCCCTCCATAATAAGCTTTAAGAACAGGTACCCAGGCCTCGATAACACGGAGAGAGCCTTACCAGAGCTCAATCCTTTTGATACTATAGGTATCTGGGATGAGTGAATTTTCCCCTTAGAGGAAGTGTGAGCTGTATGGCTAAATCTGGGCTTATAATATAAGTAAACTGATTATAATAGAGAAGAGGCAATTGCTTGATTTCGGACCCTGTTTCTCTATATATAATTACCTGTATTTAAATGAAAACCATTAAGATTGTCATTAGGATACCTTATTTTCAAATTAAAATTGATTACATACTACATTTATGATAAAGGTAGATAAAAACATTGGTAAGTATTGTCAGTTTACCTGTGACCATCTAGAAGTTCATGTGTTAAAATGGTATCAAATTTTCAATTTACTCCAGCTAAAGTTAAAAAGGCTCGTATTCTCCGAGAGAAAAAAACTATTGTTTAAAAAAATGTTCATGACTCACTTATTCATCAACAACAAATGTTAAATACATAGTGACTAATGTTCTATTTAAACAAGGGGATTCCAACATTGGGCATAATATTAACTGTAATAGAGATGGTAATTTTCTCTACTTTGCCCGAGATAAGTAATGGAAATTACTTTAAAAAAATCGATAAACGATACAGAAGAAATGATTTGCTGACGAATGCAATATAATAATAGATGGGATATATATATTGAATGAAATCTGGATAGAAAGAAAATCATACTGTTCCAAAGTGTAGACAAAATATAAGAAGTTCTCGACACGCCTTTCTAGAAGAATATTCAACTAGTTTAAACGCTTCCCACGGGAAAAAGTCGAAGATTAATAATCACGCACAATGGCAAGTAATATGGTACTGTTAAAAATGGTTTATTGGCGATTGTTTCAAAATCTCAAGTTCTCCAGTTTTTGAGGAATATTATTCTCACGTATTTAATTTTCTACCAAATTATGCTGTCGTTATTTTCGAATAATATAAGCTACATAAGATAACTGAACCAATTCCATCAAATACCCTAAAAAGAGGAAGAAATATTGTGGATTCCTGATAATAACGTTAAAGAAGTTTGCCAACCTATAATCATTCCTATCAGACCGGACAACGAATCTAATTCAGATCAAGATGAAGAAATGGAAGACCATAATTTATAAGTCAATCAGTAAGTTTTATATATCTACATTGCCTAAATGTTTTATTTTAATAAACAATTCGATTTATCTACTTAAACAATAATTTTATTTAACACAATCATTCTCCTCTAAAATCTGTCCCTTTGTGATGCGACGACACTGTATTTTGATATGTGTATTAGGTATATAATCGTGGGTTTATATTTTAATTTCTATGTTAACATGGTAGGGTGCACCCTTTGAAAAATAATATCTATACGTACACTATCTATACAACAGCAAAGGAAATTATTTTGATTAATTTTACTTTGACCACCCTTACCTACCCTTTGAAGATTTGCATTTGTAATGAATTGATAATTGCAACCAAATAGACTCTAAGATTGATCGATTATCTGTTAGTTTAATGAGAAATAACCACAATTTTAATTGAAAATGCGATAATTTTGAGTTTTCCGCTCAATTTCCAGCTCGGAAATCGTTCTCATTTTCTTCAATGAAATAGAAATCAACTGAACTCTGTTAATAAGTTAATTCTACAGTTTTGTATGCAATTAAGTTTAATTCCACCGTAATACTAGTAACACAGCTCACACACGCCATATTTGACGAACACAATTTTTTTTCTTAACAAAAAGGAAAGATTATCTAATTCAAACGATTTTAAGATATTCCTATAGATTTGAGAATTCTGAATTCAAATTTGATTTGAATTGTCCTAGCAAGTGACGTTTTAAGAAATCTTGACATATCCACGTTGTTTTCAAAACTTACGATAACATGGAGGTCTTTTAAACTAGACACCTAAGAAAGTGTAGTTCTTAAATTAATAAAAAAATCTTAAAAATACGTTAAAGAAAATACTTGACTTACCTAAAGGAAAACAGTTCATTGATTTAGCATAATTTTTGGCTAAATGTTTGACTTTGTTTAATAATTGACATACTTTGTCTGTTCCAGTTCCGGTAGTCTTCTTTAGCTCGTCGGTCAATATTTGTTGCCATATAGTTTCTATTAACGCTGGATCGGTATATCCGGCACAATCAATAATGGCCAGCTGACATTCGAGAAGTTTGAAAGGCTCAGCGAAATTTTCGTACAGCTACAAATAAGATACGTTCATAATCATAATTCTGTAACAAGACAACTTTTGTGCAGAAAATGCATATAACAAAAATGGAGATAATGAGCCATGTAAAAGAAATCCGTCGACAGAAAAGTCTGATATAAAATAAAATATATAATCAATTTACATCTTGCAGTGATCATATCGCGCATGGGCTGCAATAGTAGCACAACTCAAAAACACGCGTTTTGGACTAAGAACAGGTGTACATATGAAATATGGCATAATTCATAATTCGATATTAGGCCGTAAAATGGCAGAAGTCTCGCTATTGTATTTCGTGATTAGTGGTGTACATATGAAATATGGCATAATTCATAATTCAATATTAGGCCGTAAGATGACAGAAGTCTCGCTATTGTATTTCGTGATTAGTCCCAAGTATTGGCTGCATTATTGATACTACTTAGTTTGCGCTTGATACGACCAGGGTACATTTTTGTAATCGAAAGTGATACATTTTGAGTTAAGTCAGTGTTGCTGAAATATTTACCTTTCTCTAGAGATACTTTTAGAGTTGTCCCAGTATTGCAGAAAAACTTGGCGTTATTTTTTGTATCGGTGCCGTTATTACAAAAACATTTTAAATAAAACTTCTTATTTACTAAGTGCAAGTTAGGAAGAGCGATACAGCGAAGTTTTTAGTAAATTTAATTATTAGTCGTATATAAACACAAACAACATGACTTAAATTTGTTTATTTAATACAATAATTATTGTAATTTATATCGATAATTAACTTCGAAAAATTTTTGACTTTAAAATTGGGTAAGTATATTTTTACGTGAACATTTAAAATAAAGGTTATTAAAAGGTAAAAATTTCGGAAGAGCGACACCTAGTGGCATAGATCAGCAAAGTAAACTGCGAATAAAATGACTTGTTTTTTTAATGCAATAATTATTGTTACTTATATTGGAAATTCCACTTTCTCTTTGCATTAATTTGTGCTTATAATTTGGAAAAGAATCTCAGATTGACTATTTCTTGTTGTATTTTTATAATATTTATTTGCACTTGTGCATTTGTGAAATCCCATTTTATTCAATGGTAGTCCTCCAATATGTTAATATTATACTGAAAAATTTTAGTCATTTTTATCATTTGGTTCGTTTACCCGGAACTTAAAAACAGAACTTGTAGTTTTTCGATGAAAATGGAAATGTGTTTATAGTGGTTGTATAAGAATAAACTGCTTCGAGTAAAAAGGTGTAAGACCAACAATAGCATTAGATTTGACTATCAGATATTAAAGCTTTACATATCTAAAGACAATATATATACATACCTGTGATATTTCAAAAAGTCCAGAATTCAGAGCTGCAACAATGTCTCCATAATTTTCGATTTGATTTTGTTGGTTCATAACGGCTTCTAGAATTTGTTCTTGTACCTTGGCCACTTCTAATTTATCCTCCAAATCTCTCAGGAAGACACCTAAATATGGCGCATATCCTATTTTGTCGCTTCTCATACACATTATGGATCGGGCTAAGTAGGCCAATCTTTCTTTTAGAGGAATGTTAATACTGAAAAGAAACATTAATAAATTAAATTTAATTGCTTACTGAATCAGAGTAAAATTTTAGCAAATGTGTACTAAATACTGCTAAACAAAAGTTCTTGATATCAATAATTAAGTTTATTATTATCATATTAGGTTAGGTCTATATAGCTATAGAGGCCTATGTAGCTCATATTCCCACTATAAATAGAAACAGAGTGGAAACAAAAAATGATTAGCCGTTTATTATTTAGGTCCGCTTGCCATTATGCTAATTTCAGTACTGATTTCAGTGCTAAAAATATTAGTTAGTTGCGCGAGTCGATTTAGTATGAAAAATGTATGTTGGTGTTTGCAACTATCTTGATTTTAATTAGCCTGTAGGCATGCGCTCTACCAATTTTGTATTGACAGTCTAACCTATCTGAAGTTTGTTTTAAAGTTTTATGATTAGAGTAAACAAAACAAACAGGAGTTTGTACAATTCCGCCTTTATTTCTTTCAAAGCTTTTACTCTCCCATTCCTATTTTTGTATAATGAATGTTTTGGCACATATAAACAAGGATTTGCTTTATATAGTTCGATTAAATTTTCTATTTGCTTTTGACTCCACATATTTAAAAACAAAACATAAACATACGTAACATAACCTCAGTTTTAGTTAATATTGGATCATTTTTAGTACAAGAAATTAGAACATGTTCTAATTTTTAGTACTGAATCGGCGCGCGCACCTAATTTGTAGATACAATATTTTTAGTGCTAAATTCCTTTAGACCTTATAAACAAATAATTTCACAAGATTGAAGAAAATAAACAACAAAACATTAATCCAAAAAAAAGTAATCCAGAAACGCTCATAAGAAGGGATGTAAAGATGATAACAATATCATATGTAATGGCTTATAGACTTTGAATGTAACAATTTCTACGTAGGAGAAGCCACAAGACCACTAAGTGTCAGAAAATACATATAAATACACATAATCTTCAATTATACATAATACATATACAAAACACAATTCATAAACATATAATACATAAGCACATAATACAAAAACACAGAACACATAAAGACACAAAACAATCAGAATTAACTATCATCCTGAGAATACAAACATCACACTCAGAATTATCAACAAAAAGCATGGTTATAATAACAACTCACTAATTTAAAATTATCTTTTTGAAAACGATTTCCGCAGTGTAAATCGAAACGTCAAATACCAATTATAAAATATAATTTTCATTACACAATTGTGGCTTAATCCCCTATAAACATAATATTTAACATTCCTATTAAATCAATTTTATTAATCTACAACCTAACTAACCAAAACACCACTTACCCACTTCTTGATGCCAGGCTATTAAGAACTTTAGCTGCAGCAGCATGGTCATTGCGATGTTCATAGAATTTCCATAGAAGGTCCAAAGCAACAGTATCATTTGGATTTTGAGCTGCTGTTCTTTTAAGATATGTCTCCAAGGAATCGTTGTTAATTGTTAGTAAATCTCCAGTCATATTTTTAGATATTAGCCAATCGTATAAGGTTATATGCATTATTTGATCGGGAGTTTCCAAAATATCGGTGATCACTTGTTTCATCTAAAAGAAAAGAATTTTAATATAATTAAAGATAAATAATACACTATTTTATGAGTGTTGAGCTAGAAACCTGGAAATATCTACATTAGATAAAGTTTGAAAAAAAAACCGACACAATTTTATAACAAGTTTTGATTTCACGTTTAGGGCTTCTGCGCAGTCGCTCTAAGTCTAAAGGGACTTGAAAAGACAATACACATATAAGCGAATGGCGGAGGCACTATACTAATATCAAATCTTAACTGTTTCTCTATCTTTATTTACTTGTTGTGGGTATAAGAAACTAGTTCACGAAAAGTTCTTGCTTCGATGAATTGATATCTGGTGGAATCCAAATTTTCGATTTCCCATGTCGCTCCATTCATCGGCCGTTTTACTTTGAAAATTGTAGAAGGCACAGATTAAGGCAATAATGTAAATTTTGGTTTAGAAAACTAAGACATTTTTGGATTCTGACTTTTGGAATTTATTCTTAGATGGCACGGTAAAGTTTGTATGAAGTTATTTTATTATTACTTCTTTTAACGGAAAAGATTTGATTTCACGTTTAAGGATTCTACTCAGTCGTTCTGAAGAGTACCGAGAGGGCGAAATAAGTATAAGCGAATAGTGGAGGTACTATCTGTATCTTTCTGTATCTTTAATTACTCGTTTTGAGTATAAGAAATCAGTTCACAAAAGGTTCTTGTCTAGATAAATTAATATGTTGTGGAATGCAAATTTTGGACTCCCCATGTCACTCCATTCATTGTCTGTTTTGCTTTCAAAATTATATAAAACATAGATTTAATAAATAATCTGAATTTTAGTTTCGAAAACTAAGAAATTATGGGAGTTTGACTTGTTGGTTTTATAAATTTATGCTTTTATTTGCTACCATTTTTTAAATAGCATCCTATTTCGGAAGACAGCAATATAATTTCTTTGTACGAATGTCGAATATTATAAAATAAGAAGACGAAACAACGAGCGGAATAAAAGTTAATAGCAGAACTATCAATAGCATCACATATTATGTAGATAATAGGGTGCTAATAACAGAGAATATACAAAGCTTACAAACACTCTTAGATCACGTGATACATGTTAGCGAGGAAGTGGACTAACAATGAATGGTAAAGACCAAAATTATGACAATTACAAAAACACAGCACAAGACCCTTAGCGGTAGATGAATTTAAAAAATATAGATATTTGGGTACGATTTTGAACGAGAATATCCCTACACAGAAGAAATAAGAATGAGAATTGAACAAGCAAGATCAACATTTAATAAAATTAGAATAGTGCTGAACAGTTACATTGCTTATAATTGAAAATAAGAATATTACGCTCTTATGTGTTTTCCGTGCTGCTCTACGGAATAGAGACCTGGACCTTAATGATAGAATTAGTGATAGATTAGACGAATTTGGGATGTGGTGCTGATGTATAAAATAGGCTGGGTGGGCAGAGCAACAAATATTGAGGTGCTTAGAAGAATGAAGAAAGAAATGGAAATAATGAGTACAATTAAGATAAGAAAGTTGCAGTATCTGGATCATGTGACGAGAGGAGATTTCGTTGCAGATGATAAAAAAAAAGGAAAATATAAGGAAAGAGGAGTAGTGGAAGAAGGCGCATTTATTGGTTAAATAATTTGAGGAATTGCTACAAATGCAAATTTCTGTAGATTTCCAACCTCCTAACAGGAGGTGGTACCCAAAGGAGAAGAACGAACACTTTTGCTAGAATCACAAAAAATTACTACTGAGAAAATTTTCGTAATGACTAAAAAGTATGCCATAATAAAGTAATAGGTATATCTACGTTTTATTTACATTCTGAAACATATGACAAAGGTTAAATTAATAACCTACGGACTAACAAAGGCCCTACATAAATTATCACCAAACATTCAATGGTTCTCCAACTTAAAGAAGAAAAATTTCGACTTATTTTTACAATGTATTTGAGCCATTCTTTTACTATAGAAGTCACTAACGATCATTTATACACCATAAATTAAAAATCCATTGGCGTACTGGTTGTTCAATGCTATATATAAGTATTTTGAGTAATGAACTTTTCATAATAATGCAAATATAGTTTTTACTGTGTCTACATAATATATGTGATGTTGAATGTTCGTATTGATTTTAGCTTAGGAAAATTCTATGCAGTATTGTAAGAAAATCTCATTGACCAAGTAAAACAAACTTGGGAGGAAAAAATGTCATCATCATTAGCCATTTTGCGTCCACTGCTGAACATAGGCCTCCCGTAAATATTTCCATTGCATCCGATCTTGAGCAACTTGAATCCAGTTAGACTGGATGCGCTTTAAATCGTCCGACCACCTTGTTGGAGGACGTCCTCGACTACGATAAGCATCGTGTCTAGGCCTCCACTCTAAAATTTTCTTTGTCCATCTTCCATCTCTGACCCTAGCAACATGTCCTGCCCAGTTCCATTTCAGGGTTGTAATTCTTTCAACTGCGTCCGTCACACCAGTTTTTCTCCTTACTATCTGACTCGAAACTCTGTCCCTGAGTGATACGCCCAACATTGACCTCTCCATCGCTCTCTGTGCCACTTGTATCTTATTAATTACTTTTCTGGTAAGTGTCAATGTTTCTGCTCCATATGTCAGAACTGGAAGTACACACTGATCAAAAACTTTTCTCTTCAAGCACATGGGAATAGCTGATTTAAAGACTTCCCTCAGTTTTCCGTAAGCTGCCCATGCCAGTCCTATTCTCCTTTTTAACTCTGTTGTTTGATTGTCTCTTCCCAATTTAATCTCGTGGCCCAGATACTTATAGGAATACACTTGTTCAATTTGCGTGCCATTAGTGGAAATGTTTTTTGCCAGTACCAGGTTGGTCATGTATTGTGTTTTGGAAAAATTAATTTTAAGGCCAACTCGTGCACAAGAGCTCTGAAGGTCTTGAAGAAGTTGGCATGCATGATCTACCTGATCTGCAATAAGGACTATGTCGTCTGCAAACCTCAAGTTGTTCAAAAATTCCCCATTTATATTTAATCCAATATTTTCCAAATTATTTTTTCTCATAGCACTCTGTAATAGGGCGGTGAATAGTTTAGGAAAGATAGTGTCTCCTTGCCTAATACCTTTCTCCAAGGGAAATGTATCTGTGTCACCATAGTACATTTTTACAGCAGCTGTTGCGCTATCATATATATTTCGAAGAAGAGTTGTGTACCTATGGTCAATACTGCACTCTGTAAGAGCTCTTAACATGGAGCTATGCTGGACTGAGTCAAATGCTTTCTCAAAGTCTACAAATATTAATATCAATGGCTTGTTGTATTCTATAACTTTCTCTATCAAGGATTTTATTACTTGTAGGTGGTCATTTGTTCCAAAGCCACTCCTAAATCCGGCCTGCTCTAGAGGTTGATGAAAATCTAGCTTAGGTCCCAGTCTGTTAGTAATTATTCTCATAAAGAGTTTATATAAATGAGATAATAAGTTGATAGGTCTGTAGTTGCCAATTTCTGTTACATCTCCTTTTTTATGCAATATTATCATAATGGCATTATTCCATTTTTCTGGCGTATTTCCTTCAAAGAGGCAGGCATTATAAAGGGTTTTTAAAGCCTTTATGACGCATTCGCCTCCTAGTTTTATCATTTCACTTACAATGCCATCTTCTCCAGGTGTTTTGTTGTTCTTCATACCTTTTAATGCTGACTTAATTTCCTCTTCGGTTATATCTGGAAGTTCCTCTGACCCTTGATTTAGTATTGCTGGAATTTCTACTTCGGGAATGTGATCATCTGGACTATATAATGTTCTATAGTACTCTTCGATGATTTTTAGTATCTCTTGTTGTTCATGTATGACATGTCCTTGATTATTTTTTAACTTATAAATATTCCTCGTTCCTATTTTCAACTTTCGTTTTAGAACTTTTAGGCTTTTGTTTTGTTCTACGGTATCAGTTATTTCCTTAGTGTTAAAGTTGTAAATCTTTTTCGTAAAGGAAAAAATGTATATATCACTTATTTTATACAATTATTAGTTTATGATATAAAGAAATTTAAATTCATTCACAGAGATAATTTTGTAGAGACTTACAAAAAGTAAGTCGGCAGAACTAACATTGTAATTGTTGTTGAAGAAATATCTAAATGCCGTAGATAGGACCCTACCAAAAGATTTTTTTTCCCGTTTAACCAGACGGAGTTATACGCATTTTGTTCTAAATATAAGAAATTAATTAAACCAAACTTTTAAAACTAGCTAGATTAGAGGAAGTGGTATTTTTACAAAATATCATATTTTAAAAAATTCCTTGATATTTACTTTTGGGCAAGGTTGGATTATTTATTTAAAAGTTTTTAATAAACACATTTAGAATCATTGTCCTTATCATATAACACTCGTATGTCCCCGGATGGGGAACATCACTCGTTTTACCGTTGCGCTCGTACGTCCCTTACTGGGGACATCACATTTCTACGGATAATCTCTTATATTGTCGCATCGGCACCAAATACTTCAATATTTTATCATTTGTAGGATAAATTAGCGGCGGCGGTCTGTTTAGTCTGATATATCCTATCCTAGGTATATTCAGAAGGTATATTTTTAAATTTCTGATTTAAGGTTGGTGAACCTTCTAGTTAAATTGGAACGCATTTCCATAAAAAAATCACCTTGATCAAACATAAAAAAAGTTACTTTTTAAAGCATGATTAAGAGTGCAAAGGGTTTATCATACACTAACTAAGGTGGTTTCATCTAACAACATATAGATTAAAATAATATCATAAAAATTTAAAAATCAATTTACCATATAACCAATTTGTGACTGTGCTGGGGTGTCTGTCAAAATTGATTGAGTTACTGAAAAATCGAGGTCGTAGTTGAGGCACGGTACTGGAGTTACATTAAGTTCCTGATACATGGAATTTAACATATTCAATAGATGCCTATAAATTTCCATTCTGAAACAAAATATTTGGTTAGGTTCAGAAACGAAACATTTCCATAAAGGATGGTTTATTAGAGGACATATATTTATAGCATACTTATAAAAAATATTCAGTTTATGTTAAAAAAAATTAATATATTCTTTATTTAACAAATACGTATTATTGATTAAATATTAAAATTTCTTGAATATTCTCAGTTACTTTGGGGGTATGCGAAGTGTCGCCACCGCAACAGTCGGTCTAATCCGCTGCATTATATGCTTCACACCAAAAAATATTTAAACACAAATGCGATTGAGTGCGCTTTACTGTAGTTTTTACTGTAGATTGAGAACTGTGGCTCAAATAAGGTCGATCCAAAAAATAAGTCATACCGCGCGTTTATTACTTAATATCATGTATTATTATGACAGTAAGTGGGGATGTAATTTTATCAAACAATTATTGTGTAAAACCCACTGCTGCACAATTCTAATCTTGTCCACGGCTAAAGCTAAATAAAATTACCTGCAAAATGTTTCAACTGAGTCTCTAGCTAATTTCTGGCGAGAATTACAGGAAATCGAAGTTTTTAAAATAGTAGCCATTTTTGCAAAAATTGCAAACATATAGATTTTGATTTGCGCACGTTATAGACAATAGAAATTAGCAAATAAAAAGCCTTTTTCGTGACACTCTTTGATACGGGTATCCAACAATTGCTTTTGATAAATTTGGGCGTATTTTTGAAAAATTTTACTAGTTTTTGAAAAACACAAAATTTTAATCCAGCAAGAGCAAGCAAACTTAAGAAAGTGATTGTCACTGATTACTTTGACAAAATGAAGTTAGTCATAGAGGAATTAGACGTTGCCGGTTACAACATCTATGAAAATGTTGCCGTTTGACACTACACCACCAACAGGAAGTTTTGCCAAAAAAGGGACAAAGATCGTAAGTAGCATCTGAGCACGCTGAAAACGCGACAATCAAGTTATGACACTTAAAGGAAGAATGACACGATGTTTTTGTGAACATTTTCAACATTTTCGAGTTGGAGGTAAAAATACTTTGTTGATTTTTGAAGGTGTTAAGTTTCATTTAGATGCAAACATCGTTAAAGCTGCTGAACAGTACGACATTACTGTTTTTTCTGCGAGACATTACAATCCATACGCTACAGCCTATGGATAAGTCTGTTTTCAAAGCTTTCAAATCGTTTTGGGACGATGAGGCTCTTGGTTTTTGGATGAATAATCCTGAACGCTCGATAAGTAGCACAGTCTTTAGCGAATATTTTCTGAAGTTTGAGCTAAGGCTATGACACAAGAAAATATTATCTCCGGATTCAAAGCTACGGGAATTTTCCCTTTCAATCCACCAGTGATTCCAGAGAGCGCTGATGCACCTTCATTCCTAACCGAGCTTAAAATCCCAATGATGAAAATGGAAATGAACAAGACTCAAACACCTCTACAAATCAGAAGAAAAGTGTAGAAAAAGAACAAAGTACTTCTGCAGAATCGATGAATCAATCTTCAGCTAAAAGAATTAAAACTTTACTTCCTAAACCTTCTTCCAAATACCAAGATATTATCTCTGAAATTGATGATTCTTCAAATTACTCGATTTATGACACATCAGACAATAAAGATATGGGATCTGTACGATCTGTTACTCTTGAAGATACCACATCTAAGCTTAGTAGAATACTTCGGCCATATAATTAGAGGACCCAAATAGCATTTACTTCGCCTTATAATACAAGGAAAAGTGGAAGGAAAGAGATGGATTGGTCGAAAGAAACTTTCATGGCTGCGTAATATTAGACAATGGTGTGGTTTCACAGTAGAAGAATTATTTCGAGCAGGAACCGACAGAGAAAAGTTTCAGGAAATTGTAAACATGATGACGGCCAACGTCTGAATACGGACACGGCACCCAAAGAAGAAGAAGAAGATACAGATTAATTCCATAGTTTTTATTTATAATTATACAAATTTTATAACAATTAATTTGTGTAAAATATATTTGTGAGGTTTAAAAAAAGTGATTGTAAAAATAATAAACATAATTCAATAAAAATTAAAACATATAGATTTGATTTTCAAATAAAAAAAATTATTTTTTTGTAAAATTTATTGTTAAAATTTAATAGTTAATTTATATTTATAATACATAAATATTCAAGTTGCTTACCATTTTATAATCTTTTCCACTAACAATAATAAGAAAAAAGTAAAATTTGTCAAAATAAATATTTATTTTAAATCGTTTAAACAAATTAATCGCTTAAATAACCAATTCACAGATTTACTACATGCATTTTTATGCCACGTAGATGCCACGTAGTACCCCAAACTAAAAAAACTGATTTTCGTTTATTAGAATGGGAGACATTGCGACTTTTATAAATTTGAATTTATGAATTCAGTTTTTGAAATAGTAAAATCGCTTCGCTTTTAAACCCTTTATCTTTGGCGCATAATGGAAGGCTCATTTTTAAAAGAATCGTGTTTAATATTTTTTGTCTAAACTTGAACTCTTAATCTTTTAAATGGTTCTTTTTAAATTTCTTATTATTTATAAACAAAGCAAGAACATTTTGAAACACACTTGAATTCCATCCCCCATGTAAAATTATCCCCTCATTACTGTCCTAATCATAGATATATCCAGCAATAAAGGCACCAGTATGACATTTTTCATACCCATATTTCTTGGCTATTATAATAAACACGTTATTGGAGCACATTTAAATTGATATTATTAACGGACCTTAAATTTGTTTGATATACTTTATAAACTATACATCTATATTTTTTATTTTTGCTGAAAAAAAAAACATAACTTTAACGTATTTAATTTTTGTTTTTATATGCTCGTTATTCCGGTCATACTATTCATAAATGACTCTTATAAAACTAATCTATTACCTGTTTTGATAGTAATTATAACCTTCCTGGTCTCCAGTGCTATCCGGTGCATTGTAATATATCTCCGCAATATTTTCTGGGTCTAATTTTGAGGCATAATGACAACATAATTCAGTTACGGCTTTATATCCTTTAAGATTACAGAATTCTTTACACACATCACCTATGTTCAAATTCGGTCCGATAGATTTACAAATTTGTAATGCTGAATTAAGCAATTCTTCTTTTTCTCCGACATTTTGTATTGTTCGAGCAGATTTTAGGATTTCGATTGCCTGAAATAATATTTTTATTTAGTTATATGGGAACATAATTAAAATATAAGACTGTTATTCAGACTAAAGTTAAACATTCTAACTATAATCTACAAAGGCGAAATTAATTAAACCTTTATATGTTTTCAGTAATGGAGAAATGCATGTCCTTGCTTTTCATATTTATTGCATATTTAAAGAAAAATCAACTTTTTAATAATCCATATTCGAAATAAGATAGAACGTTAAATACAAAAATAACTTAGTGCTTCCATGTCAACGCAATGCATCGAAAAATATTGACAGACCATTTTGTGAATGCTTTCTCGTTCTTTCTTAGACGCCGAAAAGCACAATCTCAGACTATGCATTTCATAAAGAATTCGTAATGAATTTTACTCAATCATGTGTAAAAACAGTCAAGTATAAATAGAATCCAATTGTTTGTTTGAGTTACAATATGCCGGTAAAACGTGCTCTCTGTATCTTTCCAATGGTCTATTGTATCGGAAGTGGGAGAGGCCTGATGAAGTACGTACAGTTCAACAAGTAGTACTGCCAAAATCACACATCAAAAGTGTGTTACAAGAACTTCATAGCAGCCTTTCGGAGGTCATTTCGGAGTTAAAAGAACACTTGCCAGAGTTAGAGACAGTAGTAATTTATGTAATAGTAGAAGGGGCCCTAGAACAAGAAGTCGTGGTAAAATGGCACAATATCCTTCCGAAGAGTCTTTTCAACGGCTAGCAGTGGATATTCTCCGTCCACTTCCGATGACAGAGAGGAGGAATAAGTACTTAATGATCGCAATGGATTATTTTTCAAAATGGACTTAAATTGTACCCATTCCTAATGGGACTACAGTAGCAGAACCATTCATAACATATGTCGTATCAAAACGTGGAGTTCCTTTAGAGTTACATTCTGACCAAGGACGAAATTTTGAATCAGCATTATGGCCAGAATTGATCTTGGGTATTAAGAAAACTCGCACTACGCCTCTCCATCCTCAATAAGATGGAAAGGTTGAAAGACATAATAGAACTGTTTGTCAATACCTTCCAACGTTCGTCGCTGATAATAAAAAAAATGGGATATTCCTCTATTCCTTGGTTCAAGCAACCTTTGGAAAATGCTGGACTTTTCATCATATATGTCACACGAACAAAAGAAAGTGATTCATAAGTGCATTCAAAATAATGCATACTTTGCACACCCCGAAAATATGCTTGTAGCAATGCTCTCCGATGACAGGGAACACATTCATCAGCTTGCGATCAGACGAATATTAAAAGCCAGAAGAAAAAACGACAGAGAATGCATCTATCAGAAGAGGACCTCAACAGAATATTGGTTGACGGCGTGTCAGATATTCTTGCAGAAGTTGTGCTGGGAAAATTACCGACACATACTTAAGCTGTCGAAAGAGTAGTAAAAGAAGTCACACGATCAGCACTACAAGTGTGCGATGAAAAGAAAAGGGATGAAATAATCAGAACTAGACTATTAGAGCAATACGGCCTAAGTTTGACTAAGAAAGAGTTCAAAGCCTAAGCAAAAAGAACAACGTGCTCTCATGGTTGGGTGGAAGGGAGGGCACAGGTGGGACTCGACATGCAACCACCTCCTCGTGGTGAGTCCTGGGTAGTTCATTATGAACTAGCCAAGAGTTGCATAAATGATGATATATTTTCCTCGATAAATGTACAGAAACAAGCTGACTGTAGACTTTTCAAAACAAATAGACTTCAAATATTAGGAAAGGTAGGTGGTATAAAAATATTGTATTTAACCTTAAAATCACGTAAATTTGTGGTTCTTCTATTAGTGTTTGGGGTTATTCTATTAGTGTTAACAAACATATATAACGCTACCCGGTCATTCTATCTCATTTATTAATGTGTACAAAATTATTTCCAAAAAGTTACCAAAAACTTTTTACCAAAAAAACTGATTTTTAAGTCAAATGCGCAGACTGAAGATATTTTTTTCAGAAAAAATATTCAGTTTTCTTTTAGGACCCCAAATGCAACTTTTAAAACTTACCCCGTTTCGATCGGATAAAAAAATATTTTTTCGGCCCATCCTAATATTTAGTCAATTCTCCCATTTTGTAAAGAGGTCTTTACTGCCCTATGTTCCATCTTATCGAATGCTTTTTCAAAGTCTACAAATGCCATATACATTGGGATTTGATATTCGTTGGCCTTTTCAATTAATATTTTTATCGTAAGCAGATGGTCGCTTGTACTGAATCCTTTTCTAAAACCGGCTTGCTCTCTTGGCTGGTAATTATCTAACTTAGTTGTTAATCTGTTTGTTAGTAGTTTAGTTAACAATTTGTACATTACATTAAGTAGCGTTATGCGCCTACAGTTTTTCAGATCTTTTCTATCGCCTTTCTTAAATAGTATTAGTGTGGTGATCTTTTCTATCGCCTCGTTCCATGTGGTGGGTATTTGTTTTGTGTTCAATATTTTATTCATTCGTACATAAAGGACTTCCACTGTAGTTTTCCCCCCATTTTTAGCATTTCCACAGTTATTCCATTTTTCCCAGGAGATTTGTTATTTTTCATTTCTTTGAGTGCCTTTTTTATTTAATTTTTTATCGATTTCTGGTTGTAGTTCAGTTGTAACTGAATACAGATTTCTTGGGTTGGTTTTTGTTGTTTTTTAGAGATTTGTATAATATTCGTGCGTTATCTGTAAAATTTCTTTTATATTTTTGGTCTCCACTCCTTCCTTGTTCTTTATGTTATTAATTTGTATGTTTCCCAGGTTCTGCTTTAAGCACTTCAAGTTTCTATTTTTTTCAATTGTTTTCCCTATCTTTTCTTCCTGTACTCTCCGTTTATACTCCTTGATATTTTTCTAATAGTTTTGTTTATTTCTTTGTATTCCATTTTATTTCTGCCCACTTGTTCTAGTAATGTTCTTCTTGTGTTCATAAGAATCTCTGTTTCCTGGGATATGAAACTTTCTGTTTTTGTTGTTGTCTGTGCTATTTCTTTACCCACTTTGATTAGAGTTTCAGTAAATATCATGTTTATTTCATCGATATGTTCTATATCTTCTAGTTGTTCTAGAGTTCGATATCTTCCTTGGTTGGCAATATTTCCTTTATTCTCTCTTCGTACGTCTGTTTTTCTTGTTTTAGTTTTTCCATGTCTAATTTCTGATTATTTTCCATTTTCTTTCTTGTTTCAAACCTACTATCAATTATCAACTAGTCTATGGTCGCTACCAGTTGAGAAGCGATTTAGGGCTATTACGTCTTTAACCATCGATTTTTTTTGTTGCTTGTTATTTGTTTTAAATGGCAACGAAAAGTATTGAAACGAATGAACGATTGAAATGATTCGATCGTTTTCAGCGTCGGTCACTGATTGATTCAGTCCTTGTAAAATGAACGATTGAACTTTGAACCACAAAGATCCTTCCTGCTCAGGATTGGAACTTCCAACCTCTTAACTGTAAAACTGACTTAAAACGATTATCATTTCAACTCAGTCCTGGAGAGAAACTTTATAATACCACTCTGAATATATTTTCTTGTGATATATTATCTTTTATCTTAAATGAGTATAAAGAATGTTTGATATAAAGTCATTTTCTCGAAACTTTAAAATATTTTAAATTTAATGGTTAATTCGCGATCAAAAAGTTAGTGAAAGTAAAATATATAAGGTGCATTATCATTTTACCTTTGAATATGCCATATCTTCGGTTTTATACAACTGTGGACAAACTTCTCTCAATTTGCTGCTGATTGAGTCGACAGAGGCGTTGTCTCCGAGATAGGTTTGAACCAGAGCTGATATCAACGACGAACAAATGTCATGTCTGTAAAGGAACAAGTCTTTAAAAGTTGTATTGACGAGGATTTGCTGTTCGTTTTCCGTAAGAGACGCCACCAATGAATGAAATTGATGTTCACACAGGATTCGCCATAAACCTACAAAAACCAAAATTATTTATTACAATAATGTAAAAATATTTTGCGACGAATAATAGTGGGATAAGTTGCTTTCGTCACCTTTCATCTTAAATCAGCTTGTGAGAAGAAATAAATTGTATGAAGCCATGGACAAATTTAATACACCCGGCAAACTAATACGACTGGTGAAAGCTATAAAGATAATTGCAAAGTACAAATACTTTGGAAACACATATCGTAATACGAATGGGCTATGCGTTGGCATCTCTTTCTTTAAACGCCAAATTAGAGACCAGATAAACTATTTTTAAGAAATCTTAGCAAATTACGCAAATGATTTGGACCTAAATGTCGTAGAACACGCAATTTAAAATATATACAGTGTGGAAACCACTTATGAAATAAAATTGTTTGTGTCCTTATTTTAGAAAATAATAAAAACCGTTAACTTAACGAGATACCTTAACTTCTAAATTTAAATGTGCGATATTTAAACATAAATTTGAATGTATAGGATAATCCACGCAAGTCTGGCATAGTTTATAATCTGCATTTTAAATGAAACGCCCTGTATATTTTTATGTTTTTAAAAGCTCCTTAATAACCTGATCTCAACGAACTATATCATGTAGGGTCTATTATGAACAATACAAGGTGAAATTTTGAAATTAAGTATAATTTTGGTCAAGAAAATTAATTCATAGAATACCCGAGGTAATTAATTGGATTCTCCTTGTCAACCACTTTCCACCCACTCCTTAATGTAGGTATCTCCCAATTGCTTCCATCTTTCTCTTTCTCTATCTTGCGCCAATCTAATCTACTCTTTGCCTGCCACTGCTCTTATGTCATCTATCCATCTTTTTTGAGGTCTTCCCATGCTTCTTGTTGTCGTCCTTGGTCTCCATTCTAGAATTATCCGTGTCCACCTGTTGTCATTATATCGGGCTACGTGACCTGTAAATATTTCATTTTTGTAATTTCTTCCACAATATCCCTAATCTTCATTCTACGTCTTATCTCGGTGTTTCTAATCTTGTCTCTGATTGGATTGGTTGTTGATTGGATTACATTAAAATAAATGCTCAAAATGTTCTCCACCTTGTTGTTGGCAATAATAGTCTCCTATAAAACTCGTCCCGAATTTTGTTTAAAGTTTGAGGTGAAATATTCCGTATTTCTGTAGTTATCCTTTCTTTGGGGTCTTCAATGCTAGTTGGTTGTGTTGCATATACTTTGTTCTTCAGATAACATCACTGAAAAAAATCCAAAGGCGTAAGATCTGGCGACCTAGCTGGCCTCTCAATAGTACCCCTTTGTCCAATCCATTTATTGAAGAAGATTTCATTCAAGTAATTTTTCACCATTAAAGCATAATCGGGTGTTGCACCATCATCTCTTAGCATGCTTAAATATTCTCCGCTGTCAAACTACCATCTACAAATATAGGATACATAATATGATCTCCTATAATACCTGCCCAAACACTCAATTTTTGAGGATACTAAGTGTATGTCTCACGCATCCAATGAGGATTCTCCGCTGACCAATATCTACAGTTTTGTCGGTTTACCGATCCGTTCAATGTAAATGTAGATTCATCAGAAAAAAGAACTGTGCCAAGAGCTATTTCATTTGTGTTAATTTTATCCATCATTCTTTCGCAGAAATCCATTCTACGATCTGGATCGTCTTCTGTTAGCTTCTACACAAAAGTTAATTTATATGGATGAAGTTTATCTTCATGGAGACACCTTAGGAGAATTGTGCGACTCACATTATTTTGACGTGAACTTGACGTTGGATTCTCTGCGACACTTTACAAAATATTCACTTTCACCTCATCTTCAATGAAGTTCGGTTTTCTTTTTAATAGTTTGACATGTATAAGTTTTCTGAATTGTGCATAAATTTTAGACACAGTACCTTGTGAAATATTAGCCAACTGAGGATGCCTCTGATTAAATAAGTTTGCTACTTCAACTTGACTTCTACAATTCTTCCCGTAACCGATCATCAATAAAATCTCAATTCGGTGGGTCTCAGTTAAATATTTCATTTTTATTTCTGCAAGAAATTAGCTTTTAATTAGGAATTTATTATTTTAATGTAAAATTTAAAGATTTAGTTTAATTAGCAGAATATCTAGACAATTTTTACCTATTCATGGCGAAAAATGTTAACACATGTTACTAAATAGAAATTTTCCCCAATATACTGACACTTAGAGTAGAAGTATATTGTCTGTATTTAGCTAATTTAAAATAATACCATAACACGTGATAAATTATTAATTTCAAAATTTCACCTTATATTATTCATTATAGACCCTACATGATATAGTTCGTTGATATCAGGTTGTTAAGAATATTTTAAAAACATAAAAATATACAGGGTATTTCATTATAAATAAGGATTATGGACTATGCCAGACTTGCGTGGATCACCCTGTACATTTAAATTTATGTTTAAAAAGCGCACATTTAAATTTAAAAGTTTTTTTTTATTGGCATAGACTTTTAGTCATTCAGCCAGACTCAACATGGTAAAAAAAAGTTGTCTGAGTTTATATTAATAAATATACAAAACAAAGAACAGGTAAACAGGGTCACTCTCTTCTCGCCTAGGGGCCCATCAAGGCATTTTTTTTTAAGACATACAACACTAGGCCACGGTAAGAGGGGAATTTGACAATTGGGTAAGAAACAAAGGTTACTTATTAACTAATGCATAATTATTTACATGGTTATTTTACTATCCTTTAAAAACATAACTAAGGAATCATACACTGGTCTCGAGTCTAGTGATAATAAGTACTGAAGGTTCCAAGGGGCTAATATATTGTATTTATGTAAGTTATTTATTAATCTTGCTGAAATTATAGTATTTCTGGGGCAACTGAAAAATATATGATCTAGGTTTCCTTCTTCTGTACAAAATTCACATCGATCATTATCTAAAACCTTGAGTTTAAATAAATGTTTGGGGTAACAAGCATGTCCAAATCTCAGTCTAATGATCGTGGTAACATATTTTCTAGGTACATTAAAAGACTTATACCAAGGTGTTTTAGGAATATCTGTTTGAAGAGAAGTGTATCTATTTGGGCTAACAATGGAATATTCCTTCCATATATTATCCCACCTTTGATATAATCTTATTTTTAAGAAAGCCAGAAAGTCGCAAGCCGTGATTTTATACGAAGTTTCTCTACCAGATAAAATACTTTTCTTTGCTAATTGGTCTACATGTTCATTATTTTCCAAACCTATATGTGCTTTAATCCAAACAAAGACCACATTTTTGCCCCTTGTTACTAACTTTTGTTTGATATCCTTAATTTTGTAAATATAAGGGCAACTGTACGTATTTGGCAATCCCGGTTTCCCAATAGAGGTCAAAACTGATAAAGAATCTGATAATATCACTATATGATCCGAGCTACTTTCTGTTGCATAAAGTAAGGCCTCATATATTGCAAGAGCTTCCGCTGTAAAAATAGAGGTCTGGGAGTTTAACTTAAATGTGTGTTCTATTCGTTCCAACGGGACAAAAAAAGCACATCCAGTGCCGTTTGATGATTTAGAAGCATCAGTATATATAACGACGGAGTTTTTGAATTCTGATAATATTGAGTGAATAATCTGTCTGTTTATGTGTATATTGTCACTATATTTTGGTACCACGATATCTGTATTTGCACAATATGTTGCATATGAAATGTTTTGAAGTGTATACGTAGCTTTATCTATCTCTTTTATTGCTTCCATATTATGTTGCAGAGCTTCGCAGACTAAAGGCGATTTCTTTTTTTCCCAGTATTTAGTAGACAAATCATAGCAATTCGAAGTCAAGATCTTTGTGTATAAGGATTGATTTTTTATATGTGTCTTAACCAGAAATTTTTCGGACAGGAAGTTTCGTCTGATATTTAAAGGTGGTTCCAAGGCTTCCAAATACAAGGGTTGAATTGGTGTGGACTTCATAGCACCTAAACATATACGTAAAGCTGAATTGTGTATTACGTTAATTTTATTTAGCAATACATTACTGGCTGATCCATAAAATATGCTTCCGTAATCAAAAATGGAGCGGATATACGCTCTGTAGAATAATAAATTTACATCTACATCAGCACCCCACCACGTTTTATTAATCGATTTAAGGAAATTTATTCCCTTGTTGCATTTGTTTAACATATCCTCAATATGATCCTTCCAAGTCAAATGTTTGTCAAGTGTCATCCCTAAATATTTGACCTTACTTTTTAGTGGATATTGATGCTCTCCTAATTTAATTATTTGATCGTTAGGTTTATAATGTCTAGTAAAAATGCAAACCTGAGATTTATTGCAAGATAATTCAAAATTGTTTTTATGGAGCCATTTTTGAAGTAGCTGATAGATACTATCCAAGTTTTTAATTGCTGTTTGATATTCTTTGTGTTCTGTGTAAATGCAGAAATCATCTGCATATTGTATGAGGTTGAAGGGTATGTTATTTATTTTAATATTGTACAAGTCCGCTACGTACATATTAAACAGGATAGGGCTCAATACAGAACCCTGAGGTAATCCTTTGTTTACGATTCTGGGACCTATGAGCATTTGTTCTTTTCTTAAATAAACTAATCTGTTTGAGTATAGATTAACAATACTAGCGGCAAATTGGGCTGGAATTTGAAATATTCTTGTCATTTTTTCTTTAAGTGCTATTAAACACACAGAGTCATAAGCACCTTCTATATCAAGAAATAATGCTGGTAAGTAATTGTTTCGGGAATAATTGTTTTGAATGTCTACAACTAGGGTAGCCAATGCATCCAAAGTACCAAAACCTTTCCTAAATCCGTATTGTTCTTTGGGTAGAAGGTTCTGCTCTAGTAACCACCATTCTAACCTAGCCTTAATTATCCTCTCTAGAGTTTTTTGTACACAAGATAATAAAGATATGGGTCTGTAAGCTTCAACTAATTTTAGATTTTTCCCAGGTTTGGGTATAGGAATGACAATAATATG